AGGCAGCGGTAAAATTTTGCCTTTAAACTTGGAGCGCTCAAGCTCGCGCCCTTGCGCAACAGCACATCACGTCACGTCAATTATACACTGTATATTTATGCTATACTATTTCAAGTATACCAATATTATTTATCTTACCCTTCTTCGTTCCTCTGCCCTCCAGTAAGTAAGGCCATATAAAATAAATTCCTTTATTCTCATCGCTAAATTTTAAAAACTCCCAGGAGGCGGGAGGTTTATATTTTATGTCAAAATATTAAAAAAAAAGTTTAAAATTTAAAAAATTGGAGAGGGAGGTCTTTTTATATTTGCCCTTAAATATATTATAGAAGAATGCTATATATGTGGATAATTGCACATGTGCTAATGAACATGCATAAGGGTCCACACAAATCGTTGTAATAAGGCTATAAGCCCATTTTTCCTTCAGTATTCCAAGCATCCCTTAACATGCTGCAATATTAACGGTAAAACAATTTTATATCGCAAAAATTCCAATATAAAAATAACTAAATCTCTGAAGATGCTCGGTCGGGCGGTAAATATATATTTTATAACAAAATACAAAAATATATCAACGCGGAAACCAAAATATCGTCGGGTGGTGATGAGAATTAAGGAATTTATTTTATATGGCCTAAACTTACTCTTCTCATATTGTTCAGCCATCTGCATCAGGTCTTCCAATTTGATGCCATATGGTGAATTATGGAACTCTAGTCTTAATTGTTCCTGGGAATAGACAATGACATTTTAATTTTATTCACTTGCTGTGGCCAGTTGTTCAAAGCTGGATTAACGTTAACCTGTGGTTAAAATTTAACTTGCTGAGCAACTTTGTGTATGTCTGTGCATCAGTGAGGTTATTTTGAAATTTCAGAAAAGAAAATGTCTATTGATACAGACAAGACATCTGAAAAATATGTTCACTTTTATAAACAAGCTGCCAGGAAGTATGCTTTGGGTTTTAAGTCTATCTTGGGTTGAGCTAACCTGCTCTTGAACAACTGGCCATTGTAAAATAATGAGTTATTGTTAAAAAATGACATAGTATATCACTTCATTGCACTTACAGTTTTGCTCTCATTTGGTTTTGAGAACCTTCCAATTTGAATATCCCAGCTGGCAAAACGACGTCGAAATGACGTCAGAGGATGACGTCGAATCGACGTCATAAAAGGGTTCTTTCAACTTCTGGTTGAAAGCGGCAATTGCATGATTCATTAAGCCGCGCCAATCAGTTTGAATTAGGGTCAGATCCTGACTCTATTTCCTTATTGGATGATTGTATTAAAGCACTCTAATTGGTTATAGATGTTCTTCCTGAACCAATCAGAGAGCTTTAATACAATCATCCAATCAGGAGACAGAGTCGGGATCTGACCCTAATTCAAACTGATTGGCGCGGCTCAATGAATCAATTGCCGCTTTCAACCAGAGGTGTAATTTTCCTCTCCCCTTCGCAACGAAAATAATAAATATAAACCTCAGGTACACAGCATGAAAGCAGCCGAAAATGCAAATCGAATTGACGTTGCAGTAATGACATTGTTTCGACATGCATGTTTCTACGTCAATTCGAGCCCAAACCCAACGCGTTTTGGCTTCGGCTTTCCCTAACAAAAGAACACTTGCTGGACATTTTTTCCCAGAATTATACTCAGTTTGCCTGTATACAATGTAATCAAATTGTTACAAATAATGTTGTAATGGCCAATGGGCCAGTTCACAATTGACAATTATCAAAAGGGCAAAAAATGTTGTCTGTCTATAAAACTGGAACGATAACTCCTGCATGTTGTGTGTTTGAAGTCAAAGATGGCGGAAATTCAAGCCCTTCTATGACCGAGGACATTATATACGCGGAAATTCACTGAATATATTTCATTTCAAAATTTCACAATTTCTCAGCCGACTATATATAATTTATGTCCAGCTTTTAATACCTTGGCCCAAAGAAATTGGACCAATTACGTGGTCTTTCCGAATAAGCAAATTTTAGAAGCACTAGCAAATTATTAAATTATATCATCTGACTTCTGAGGGGTTTGAACCGATAAACACAATTAGTGATATATAGACTGCACTTGCATCAATCTTTCCTTTAGTTTTTAGCTTTTAACTAGGGTATTTACCTCTAAAAATGAATCTTTATGTACAAAAATTGAAAAATATCGGAAAACCTTGGTCATTTTTCAACCTACACAAAATACACTTGGTATTATACCGGACAAGAGATCATCTCTTTGCCGCGATCTTGGCTTCACACAATAGCATTTATAGAGTATATTAATTTGAATTTGATAACTGATGCAACGGCGCCACTATGATGTCAGAATGATGTCGAAACAACGTAGTTTTTTGCAGCGTCGATAACTCGTTATCAGCACAACGTCGAAACAACATTGATTATAAGACGTCTATAATTCGTCGTCAAGGTGACGTCGAAACAACGTCGATATTTGGTCGATCGACGTCTCGACTTCATTTTGATGAAATTTTGACCGACGTCATGTGCCGGCTGGGATAGGCCTTTGCCAATATTTTACTAATCTTTTCCTGTTAAACAATTTGTAGAACTAGATAAAAAAGTGCTTAAAATTAAAATGGAGTTGCATCATTGCTAATGATGCATGTGAAAATTAGTATAAATATGTTTTAATAAATAATCAATTGAGTTACCGCATGAGTTGATTTTGCAAAGTCAAATGTTTTTGTTCCCAGCTGCTGTGTGATCTTCTTTAAAGTATAGTCCATACTTTCTTGCTTTTTCACGACTTTAGTCATTAACTCTTTTAGCTCTTTAAGTGTTTCCCACATTTCTGGAATCATGGGATCTTGTGTCTCATCATCTAATTAAAAAATATTTTTGCTATGTTTACATTTATATACAGTAGTAAAACAGCTTCGTGATGAGTTGTCGATTGTAGGCAATGTACGCTGGTATTATCATTGCTATTATGTTATAAGTTGGCATTTAAATACCTTCAAAGATATCCCTTGGCATAAAGTGTCTTGGCCAGTCTCTCGCCGTACAGTCGGGTGTTTCACTAAAAATTATTGTTCATGTCAGTTTTAAATTTAAAATGTAGCTTAAAAGTTTTCTGACATTTTTTTATTCACCCCTCTGTAAAGGCAGCTTATTTCAAAAACAAGTGCAAAGTTGCCTGTATAGAAAGGAAAGTACATCTTGTCAGAAAACTTTCTCGTCGCCAACTGGCGTAAAAAGGGAAAACAGAAACAAACGCAAAACAATAATACTAATAAGCTAAATTAAATTCAGAATTTTGAACTAATAGCTGTGATAAGATTCTTGCTTTGGCATAATTCTTACGTGTGCAAAAATGGATAGCCTCTTTCATTTCCTCTGGACATTTTTCTTGAAAAGCCACAAAAATGTTACATATTTTTTGGGAAACTACTTTGCACATTTCACTTTATTTTGGTTGTGGAAAAAATTAACCAATGAAAATCGAGAATTTTGACAAACCTAAAGCAATTAACCAATCAAAATGCTTGAAGCCGGCACGAAAGCTTTGCGCGAAACAACAAAACTCGCGGCTTGTTGAAACAAAGTGAAAGGCAAGTACAAATAAAGTCAAGGTCAATATTATATTTGGCAAATTAAGTTTAGAATATGAAAAAGAGGGTGTGTCGGCGTCGCTGCGAATGTTGTGGTATAAATTTTGAAACTTCGGAAAGATTCTCAATTCATTTGGCATCAAGAGCACATCTCATGCAAGGACTACAAACACCGGTTGATGACATCCAACTGGTATCAGACAACGACATCATGCTTTTTGTAGATGCAGAGGAATTTCGGGATAGACCAGATTTTTTCATGCAACTGTTTCTGAGATATTGCCATTTTGGGGAAAGCTCTTGAATTCAATCACGTATTCGCCATTTTGCTTGTCCACTTTGGGGGTAGAAACATTGTAACAGCTTGCGCATTAATGAGTTAACAACCTGCAAAAATCAGGAAAATGTATACTTTCCTTTTCCCTCGGAGATTTTTTCCCTACTTTATAGTTATGCACATAATATTTCAAGACCCAAGGTAATTATATACTACACAATTTTATTTAAAATTATTTATTACTCGAGAAAACAAGAAAACTATATTTTGCGTTTATCAGCTTGTTGCAATCTGTTCACTGAACAACGTCTGAACAATACTGTTATCAAGATTGAACAAAATTGTTTAAAATGACAGTTACGTTGAATACCAAAACGCAGTATATTTTCCTTTTTTCCGCATTTCTATGAATATAATAAGCGGCTAATATTTATTTTCACCCAGTTTTTTAAGTTTGATTTATTATTTCATGTGCAAAATTTATTTGGCCCAGCTGGAATACCATGTGCACTTGACTTGCATTTAAAATTCCTCTTAAATATATGTTATTAATCCAGTGAGTGCTCTGTACAGAAGGATACTGCAAGTATCGTTCTTTTTTGGCTTGTTTATGAACCGAGCCATCGGCGAGGCAAAAAAATGGACTGTGCAGCTCCTGTACGGACCTCTCGCTCGGTCAATAAGCTATTTATTATATGACTGAAGTAAAAACAAAAATTCAAATTGCATCTAAGAATTATATTAATGTAACAGAACTTTGTCAATAAAGCCAATAGATGGTTAATTAATTTAAGAACAGTGAAGGCCTGCTAAATGACTTGTTCTTTACAATGTTATTGGTTAACAAAAAAAGAACAAATGTTCAAGCATGTTTTTAATTTATTCACCTTCGCTGACAACTCGGGAACCAATCAGATTATGCTCTATTCTAGCAACGACTGAAAACTCATCAGAGCTTCTTGTTTAACTTTTATCGCATTGTACTATTGGTGCCCTCTTCCCCCCTCCAGCCTTCTGCCCTGTATTTTTTCAAATATAAACAGGATTTAATATTTTGTATTTAATATTAATACATAAATTTTTCTTATCCGCTGTGCAAAAATGTAACTTATAGACACGTGCGGACCTGGAGTTCCTCTGGATGATATTTGAGAAAATCGGTGTGGATGTGCCTTCTCTGAATTCAATACTGAATTTTACAATTGAAGGAGTAGACGAGATGTTACAGCCTCAAAAGGTATTCTATGACTATGACAAACTCTTAGGTCACATGCACACGGTTTTGTTTTCGAGCATTTTTGAATGTATTTTTTAATATCACTTTATCGTTTTGATACCATCTTTCCACAGTCGATAAAAAATATCAATTTGCTGCCATTCATCTCGACAATGGATCTTATATGCATAATGACGTCACAGGGGTGATACGTGCAGGGGCAGGGAACTTTACTTGTTTTTAAAATTTTCCTGTTGTGACTACCAAGAACAGAATTTCCTGCACACTCCTTGTGACATCATTATGCATAATGTATATTGACATTGTCTTCATTATTTTTTTAGTGAAAACACAAATTATCTTCAGGTGAAAATGAATCTAGAAATCTGAAAATGAATATTGAACTATTTTAGGACCACTATAATGGCAACCCGTACTACTGGCTCCGACCATCCGTTTTTGTCCGCCTCCAGTTGGCTATACCGGAAAAAGCGAATAATGTAATAACGACTAATAATGTATAATGTAATAATATAAAAATGTAATAATATTATATTGTGTATAATGTAATAGCGACTATTAGTCTCTTGCTCGCTATCCAGAAGAGACAGACGATTATGTTTATGAAATGAATCGGGTTAGTCTGAATCAAACACAGCAACTTTTATTGTAAGTTATTATTATACGATGGAATTTTTACTGCAACTTGCGTTTCAAGTTGTACAAAGAGTTGTATTTACGACAACGACCCCTTTAATAGATAAGTTTTGTTTAAACGTACTTATTGTTTTTGAAATAGGGAATAAAGTGGTTGAATGATAAAGAATTTCAAAGTTCTTCTATTACTGTCAAAGGAAAACATTACTACATCAATGACATTGTACAGTTCTCTCACAATGAAGACCTTTTTCATGGAAAGTTGATGAAGTTCTACACAAAAGTAAATTAAATATATTTTTTTATTAGTATGCGCGTTCCTTTCTCAATTAAAGGTCGTTCACAATGACACTAAAATAATGACGAAGATCCAATTCTTGCAAAACGAAGGAAACAAGCATTTTTCCATCTGTCCGGATGACAAAACTGATGTCCAGCATACGAGGAAAAGTTCACATCAAACCTGTGCAGATAAAACACAAGTACATTAATGATCAAACTGTTGACGTGACTGAACAGGTGATATTATAAGCATTATTTAACCACTAACGCAGTCTATTTCACTAACCAAAAATTTTTCTGTAAAGGAGGCAGCAGATTTCCTTGCGCTACAAGTCGATAATGTACTTGTTGGAGGAAACAAAGCAACTGCTACAGTTCCTTTGCTTGTCTTCAGTGATGAAACCACAAGAGGCCCAGGCTCGATTTGCCCGCGCCCGCCTGTGCCTTCCTTATAACAAGGCAGGAAGGAAACATTGAGACCAAAATAGCCCAGACTTGGCATATGTCAGACGAAACTATCCTCGATTTTTCGCCTTTAATGCATTTCTTTCACGATTAATCGATATCCCCTGCAAGAATGATACCGTATAACTCTCAAAACAACGATGCTTTAATCAAAGAGCTTAAATTCGCTCTGAAATCTGTGAGGGACTAACAAAATTCGGCCAAAATATATCCGTGTGCCGGGTTTGCTGGACAAAAAGCGGAAGTCGTTGAACAACTAAAAATACACTCAACCCTGATTGGACAACGGAAATCAACAAATATTTCAAATTTTTCTCCACTGGGAGGGGGGACAGTACTTGGAACATGTACAGCACTGTAATAATTTCATTATTTGAATCAAAACAATTCACAAACGTTATAAAGACTGCTACAAGTCGATTATATATGTTACTGTAAATATAACTGTAAATATAACTATAATTTTACGCTGAAACATCTTGTCAAATAGGGTAAATTACTATCCGGATTTACTGACTAAACTTCTTAAATTTAAATAATTAGATTTGCACTGGTTTTCCCCTGACAACATTTGTTAATTGTTTTGATTCAAATTTATATTACATTACTGACCACTGAAAATTTGAAATGTTTGTTGATTTCCGTTGTCCAATCAGGGTTGAGTGTATTTTTAGTTGTTCAACGACTTCCGCTTTTTGTCCAGCAAACCCGGCACACAGATATATTTTGGCCGAATTTTGTTATTCCCTCACAGATTTCAGAGCGAATTTAAGCTCTTTGATTAAAGCATCGTTGTTTTGAGAGTTATACAGTATCATTCTTGCAGGGGATATCGATTAATCGTGAAAGAAATGCATTAAAGGCGAAAAATCGAGGATAGTTTCGTCTGACATATGCCAAGTCTGAGCTATTTTGGTCTCAATGTTTCCTTCCTTCCGTCGTTATAAGGAAGGCACAGGCGGGCATGGGCAAATCGAGCCAGGGCCTCCTGTGATGAAACAAGCGGTAACACAACCAAAAAGTGGAATCACCTGGAGAATTTCTCGATGACATTCGCAGGTCTCTGCAGGAAAGAGTGCAGGCGAATCGAAAACATCCACTCCTTGGCAGCATTGAATATAGTTCCCATCCTTTCCGCTTGGAAAATCCATCGCCACTGACCTACAAGGTAAATAGGTATCTTTAAGGGAAAAAACGTGCTTGCTATAAAGTTTTATCGTATTTTTGGAAAAACAGTTTTTCTAAATACTCCTAGGAAAAAGTATAAATTTCTCGTTACTGAAATTATATAACAATTTAATATGTCGCATATCTTATATATTTTCAGAGCTTGAGGAGGGTATAATGATGTACAACGCACACTTCGACAATGACATTTTGGTCAAGGCCCCTGTATTGTGCATCCTGGCAGATAATCCGCGGGCATCTGAATTTGAGCATCATTTGGGCAGCTTTGCAAAAAAATTTTGTAGAAAGTGCAAAGTGAGATATCTATACCAGTGGCGTAGGAAGAACAAAAATTGGGAGGGGGGGACATATTCATATATTCATGTGCTGCATCACATTAATTTCTTTTGAAATCGTTTGATTAAGGTCTGTGAACACGAATAATATCCCCCCCCCCCCCCAATTATCGATTTTTCTACGCCAATGATCTATACACATATATATGTATAATATTGAAAACTACATACCATAACGATTCTTGTTCAATTTTTATCAAGGCAACAATGGACAATGCTACTCAGATTCAAGAGCTAAGAACGGATGGGTACATTCAAGAAAAGGTTCAAGAAATACAAGCATGTCCGTATGTACATTTAATGTGAAACCCAACATCGCTCGAAATTATTTTTGAACCACTAGCATAAGTCGGTCATGTAATAGAGACTTACCTCGTCATAGTTTAAGATAACGCTTGATGATATATATGTGTATTTTTTATCCAATCATATAGATCTGAAAAACAGAAGAAGGCAAAGCGTATGGAATTTGGAATAACTGAAAAAGGAGGGGCGTTTGACGGACTGAAGTGTTTCAGTGGGAACAAGTAAGTGATGCATCATTAATACCTGGAAAAGATGAGCTGGTAGAGACGGTAGTCCTAACCTACTAGCAAAACACCTAGCAAAACACCAATTGAAATACTTCACACGATACTCCTTGGACCTGTGAAGTATTTGTTCACCAATACAATACAATCTTTAAATCAATGACAGAAAGACCGGCTGCATGGCTCACCCAATGATAGTTTCTTACTATACAGTAAGTAAAAAGTAATATGAGATTTTTACCTTGTAATTATACCAGCTTACAGGCATCAGAAAAGCTAATGAAGGCAGCAGAAGATCCAAAAATGCAGCAGTTTATCAACAATACAGCCAAAAAAGATAGCCTCAAGAACAAGACAATATACCAATCTGGATGTCTACGAAAAGTTAAACTACTTACTTTAACCCATTTCTAACCCAAGCTTACATGAATCACAAAACTTATAAGATGATCTAACCCCTTCATTCTGTTAATGGCTGAATAACATTTTTTTGTTTATGAACAGAGTTACATAGTCGGCTACTCATATGTCCATTAGCTAGTGTGTCTCAATGTTTATGATGAACAGCAGGCAATGTATACAATGTTACCAACCAACCAGTAGGGAAGTAAACAGCTTTGCAATCATGTACATTCATGGATTCGATTTGTGCAATCTTTGACAGACCATTTCGACGGGCTTGCCAAAATTGTTCAAATCCATGACTACAAAAGCTAATTTACCAATCGATCATTAGACAAACACAATATTTACATTTGATATTAATTAATTTTGTAGGGAGTGTATGTAAAGGGTAAACTTCAGAGCAGGGCAAGAAGATTTTCAAGAAGGCTTTTCAAATGGAGGGACATGAAGATTCTTTGGTGGGATTGAGAAGATGGAATTCTGTAAAAATGAATCCCAAGAGATCATTATGGGAAGTTTCCAGTGCCCCAAAGTGAAGAGAATAAATGAGATAACATAATTCCTTCCAACAGTGTTCTCGATCAGCTTTGCCTTGTGCATGATTGTTCTGGTGCAAATTGTTCTTTTGCTGAATCTGAAACAACCACAAGGATTGAGAGAGAATCAGTGACCAAGGTGAAATATTCTTATATACATGATCCAGACCACACCACTTATCTTTTGAACAAGTTTTATCTTGGAGAAAAATTAAAATACTTTCAAACACTCATTAATAATTCATAAGCCAATTGGCAAATCATGTCAACCATAATATATCACATGCAGTGGCTTTAAACCTGATAAAACACTCCTAATTAGTATTCTTTATATGAAGAATACTAATAAAGCAGTAAATCTATTGAATTTGTAGTCGTGTTTGAAGCCGTTTAATAAACTCGCAGGTCGTGTTTTATTAGGTCTAAAGCCACTTGTGCTGCACGCTCGTGGCTTTAAACCTGATAAAACACTCCTGTTCATTAATTAAACAGTACTTAATATTGCATGAATTAGCTTACAATATTTCTGAAAATTGGTCTGATCCGATATTCTACTAAATCATGTACAATTATAGCAATTGAGTTGAATTGGCCCAGATGTTGCATGGCCTGCCTTACAAGCCACTGAGAATTTAATAAAACATGTGAACTTGTAGTACATGCGAAACAAATGATGCAAGTTGTTTTATTTAAATCCAGTGTTATCATCAATTGTACTAATTGTACATGCACGTGTCTACAAAATTTTTGGCAGTGTCTCTTGTTAACACATTAACTGGCAATCCAGCAAATCAGCTCACATGATAAGTGCACCTACCTTTTTACCATTTTACTTGCCAATAGAAGAGTACTGCCAGTTAATGCCTTAACGATTGTATCTATGTTTCAACTACATTTAAAATTTTTTTTCTGCTGTCATTGCAAGTCTCCAGCGTGGTGTCACATGTGGTGTCACATGTGGTGTCACAATAATTTCAACGTTGGCGGACTCCAGACATTACTAAAAACCGTTTAGTATTCCGTCTTTCAAACATTGAACCAACCTCGTTCCCAGGGCTCTAGTGTGATGATGAGGGGAGAGACGAGGAAGCCCTGGTCTGGGCCGGTCAATTTTGCATTCTGATTGGCTAACACCATATTGTCTAAAAATAACTGAACTTGACAGTTAACAATAACAATTCAACATTTGTATTTTTATGATTCTTGACTTGTGTGTAGAAGTATGTTTTGCAAAATAATCTTTCAAAGTAAAACGTTTTCCAGACTGCATGATTTATTTTCGCCTCGGCCGGTTAGAAAACTCAAAAGCTGTGTCGACGTGAGCTGTGATGTTTCCTGACAAAACAAGAAACGTCTACTATTATTTAAGCTGTAGTTTTCCTTGTACAGTATTTATGTTAATGTAGTGCAGATGTCTGATGAAATACTATGCGTATTGCATTGTAGTAATATTTTAATTTACAATATTCTTGCTGATCGACAAATAAAAGCAAGACAAACAATTAAATGAAACTACTAAATTAATTTAGGCCCTGTTTTAAAACTTAATAGCTCTACGCCTAGGCCGATGTAGTCTCTACAAGATTCGTCACGCCACCGAGTTTTACAGTTTCAGAATACCCCGAACACCTGAAAATTGCGACTATACGATAAAATAAAACAAAGATTGTGAATATGGGGATAACATTTGTAGGCAAGCATTGCTCCTGAACGGCAAGTGTTGGTGTCCGGCGAAACAAGCTCTGTCATTATTGCTCTGTCACGCGTGGTGTAAGACGTGCTTTATATTGCTCTGCTAAAATCTAACATATTTATTCAAAATTCGAAATTTCTTTATGGGATTGTATTACTAAAGCAACTTTGATTTGCCAGCAAAATGTTGTGGTAATAATCGAGGTCGTGGCAGTTGTTTTCATTCGACGTCTCTCATAATATCTCGCTTTCAAATCAAGATGGCTACTGAAATTAGTCGCGAAACTAGAAGCCGGTCGGAAGCAAGGAAGGAGTTTGATAGTTATGTTCAATCAGAAGCTTTTGTATCCTTACTTGATGATGCTATATCCAAGCAGTTTGAAAAGTTTTTCTCTTCTGAAGATTTTAAAAAAATGTTGGTGGCGACTACAACGTCTGTGGTTTCTACAGTCGTTAAAGAATCTGTACACGTCTCTCTGGACGAAGTGATTTAGGAAAATGTTATGCCTTTAAAGAAGCAAATTGAAGGTTTATCTGCGCAGCTGAACAAAGTTAAAGTGTGTGCAAACGAGAATGAACAGTATTCGAGGCACTGCAATATTCGTATTTTTGGACTTCCAGAGCTTGAAGATGAAAACTGCTATGAAGTTGTTACTGAATTTTGCAAGACGAAGCTTGGCTATAACCTTGAGCTACGTGAAATTGACAGGACACATCGTGTGGGAAGACTAAGGCATGGCAAACAACGAGCTATTATCGTCAAATTCTGTTCTTATCAAAGCAAGATTAAAGTCATTAAGTCTTTAAAAAAAATCTCAAGGGAACTTCAATATATGTCAATGAAGATCTGACTTTTTTTAATAAAGAATTGTTTAATTATACACGTACTAATCTGAAAGACCTTCCCGTCTGGTCAACGGATGGAAAAGTTTTGATAAAACAACAAAGTGGGCGTATTGTTAGAGCTAAAACCAAAGGTGGATTAAGGGATAATTAATTGCTGGCAAACACATTATAACACAGTATATAATTGTACTATTATTACTTTCTTGAGAGTTGACTGCTAAATTCCATATTATATAGTAATACTATATACTTATTTATTTCATATTTTGTTTAGTACGACTTCTTGGCAGCTTGAGGTAAGTGATTTCAACTATTAAATGGGGGTTAGCTGGGGGTTTGAAGAAATTGTTTCTCTGGTTCTCGAACACAAATTGGATATTCTTGAAGTTTCCAAAACGTGGTTAAATAACTCTATTTCGAGCAATTTATTTAATATGCCTGGTTTCAGGCCAATGTTTCGCTTGGATAGGAGTGATGGTCGGAGGGCTGGGGGTGTCTCACTATTTACATCATTGTCTATTGTAGCTAAACGCAGCCGAAAACGACCGCCAAATTCTAACCAAGCTAGTAATATTGCGTTGTTAGATTATTTGCAATCTTGTTTAGATCAAATATATTTGAAACCTAATACACGTTTTACTTCTTGGAGATTTTAATGGTAATTATGGTATTGAAAATCCTGTAGATGGTAGTGACTTTGGAATAAAATTATACAGATGGATGGAATGCAATAACCTTTATCAAATAATTAATGAGGCAACTCGGGTCACGGCATATTGTGCAAGTTTATTGGATTTAATAATTACAAATTCTCCAAGATTTTTTGTTGATTCTGGCACTGCAAGCCCTCCTAGTAATTGTGATCACTCTTTCATATTTGCTAGAATGAACATTTCTTTAGCTAAACCTCGATGTTATAAACGTTTTATATGGGACTTACAAAAAATAAATGAGGAAAATTTAGTTAATGCTCTTAACTGTACACACTGGGATGATATTTTTGTTGATGTTGATGCTTTATATAATAGATGGTTGGTCTGTTTTCGACGTATTCTTGAGACGTATGTACCTAATAGGATTGTTGTTGTTCGTCCTCGGGATAAACCCTGGATAAATCCAGAGATTCGAAGAGCTGTAAGGAAGCGAAATAGATTATTAAAAATATTCTGTCAAAATAGGGTTCCCGAAAATTGGGAAGTCTATAGACTTCAAAGAAATTTCACTACATCACTTATACAAAGACGTAAAAAGTCGTATTATAACAATTTGAATAATAAATTGCAGGACCCGTTGTTGGGATAAAAAAAATGGTGGGGCTTAATTAAACAATTTTATGGGAATACAATACAAACAACTGTACCAATTTTATTGGAAGGTGATTGTTTAGTTACTGACCCAAAGGATAAAGCAACTTTATTGAATGATTATTTTTGTAGTCAGAGTATGCTGCTAAATGCAGATGCACCGTTACCAAATTTAATAGAGTTGCAAAATGCTAAGACATTGTCAGTGGTTTCTACTAGTGAAAATGAAGTTTTTGATTTATTGAAAAGTGTCGATGTATCGAAGGCTTGCGGAGTAGATGGTATAGGAAATTCCCTGTTGAAGATATGTGCTATTGGCATTGCTTCATCTCTGTCGAGATTTTTTAACATCTCTTTGGTAAATGGCTGTTTTCCAACAGTATGGAAACTAGCAAATGTTGTTCCCATTTTTTAAAAAAATAATCGTCAATTGAAAAGTAATTATCGTCCTGTGTCTTTACTAACATCGTTGTCCAAAATTCTTGAGAAAATAGTATTTAAACGTCTTTATAATTTTTTATTAGAAATAAATTTTTTCACTCCCTTGCAGTCAGGGTTTCGTCCCGGGGATTCCACTGTGAATCAACTCATACTTATGGTACATACAATTTAAGAGGCTTTAGAGCGTGGAAAGGAAGTGCATATGGTCTTCTTGGATATAAGTAAAGCTTTTGACAAAGTGTGGCATAAAGGTCTCCTTTTTAAGTTGAAACGTTCAGGTATTGGAGATCCATTACTATCTTGGATTAAAAGCTATTTGACAAACAGAAAACAACGAGCAGTTATTGATGGAAACATGTCTGATTGGAAAGACGTTGAAGCAGGAGTGCCACAGGGATCAGTACTTGGGCCACTGCTATTTCTAGTTTATATAAATGATATTACTGATAATATTCAAAGTACTTGCTTTCTTTATGCGGACGATACTTCTTTGTTAGAAATTGTCGAAGATCCTCAATTAAGTTCAGCCAAACTTAATAGTGACTTAACAAATATTAGTAAATGGACACGTGATTGGCTCGTCACTATTAATCCTCAGGCTGTCTATATTTTTATACCACCATATAATGTATTTAAATGTAAATTGGCGTGAGCCCCCTAGATGAGCTTAAATAGCTCTTGGGGCAAACGAATAAATATGTTTAGATAAAAAAAAATCATATAGTTGTCTATTATAGTATTTGGGTAGAGGAACGTATTCAAAATGTTTTATGTCAGTGTGTATTGATGGGTAGGTAGGTAGGTAAAACGTTATTTAAAAGATCACAAGCTGGCCTTGTCAACTAGATGCGGATTTCCACGAGGGGCGTGTGGATTACATATTATATAACAAAATATTATACACACTAAACTACAAATAAAAACAATTTAGTGAAAACAGTTATGTACAAAATTAATAACATTATATTAAAAATTACTTATGTCAATTGCATTTATGAATGTTGATAACGTATCTGAATCACGCATAATGAGTTCCACAGTTTAGCTCCATCATTAAAGAAGCTTTTCTTATTTTCTTAAGGTTTTCAGTCTTTGGCGAAGGTAAGTTGCAGTGAAGTAGAGGAGCTCCTAAGATCATATTCTGTTATGTTTCTTTTGCGTACGAAAAGAGTAGCGAGCGAATTTGGCTCGTCGAGTTTCAAGAGATTCTCACCCTAGAACGTTTATCGCTTCTATACCAGGAGTGTTGTACCTCAAATTCATTATTATTCTTGCAGCTCTATTCTGCAGTTTTTCAAGTTTGCTGGAGAGCCCCACATCAAGGGTATCCCAAATGAGGGAAAATTATTCCAAGTGCACGTTTTTCGATTAATTGGATCCTTTCCAACTCTTCACTTAAGTAATTAGGTAGGCTGTGGTGGAAAACAGGAACTGCATAGTCAAGCACAGATCTAATTCAAGTTACGTAGAATGAAATCAGTTCTTACGTTGGAACGTAAGAAAGTATATTTTTTTGGATGACTTTTTTTTATTATTTCAAGGATATGATTTTTCCACATTAGGTTGTTACTAATGTTTAAATTAATCCGAGCAATTTAACGTTGTTTACAACTTCTATGCATTTATTTTCTACTGTAATTGGAGTAAAATCAAAAGGGTTCCGCGAAAATGAAATTCGTAGCCCCTTGCATTTATGCAGCACTCAAAAAAAGAAACAGCAATCCATAAATCAACCGGACAGACGCCAGCAAAAATGATGATGGGACATGAAGTTCGACTTCCCGTTGATGTGATATCTGGAAAAACATCGGATGAAGATACTCCACAACATGAAGAGTGGGAAGATCCTCAGTGATAGTTTGGAACGTGTTCATCAGTTTGCTCGAAGTTAGCTTTTTAAGTCTGGACACAAAATGAAACAGCAAAACGATAGTTATGCATCAAACAATAGTTTTGAAATGGGAGATAATGTCTGGTTGTATACCCCACAAAGGAAAAGCGGTTTATCCCCCAAGCTACAACGGTATTGAAAGGATCTTATTCTGTAGTGAAAGAAATAAACGACCTTGTGTACAAGATACAGTCGGGATAACGCTCTAAACCAATGATTATACATCGAAATCGGTTATGGAAATATAACAGTAATAAACCTTAGACGTGGTTTAATAGAAGGTGGCAGACAAGATGAAGCTGTGTAAATATGGATGAAGGGCGGTCATGTAGGTAAAGACATATAATAAAAGGAGTCGTTCTCTGATCAAAAATAATTTGATATTTTTTGTGTGTCTTTTGATGTTATGTACTAAGTACTGTTTAATAAACGAGTAGGAGTGTTTTATCACATATAAAACACGACGCGTAGCGGAGTGTTTTATATGTGATAAAACACGAACTACGAGTTTATTAAACAGCTTCAAAAACGTCTCAGTTAGATGACGGCATTGGCGAAATAATTTTCCAAAATAACTTTGTATTAGCTGAGAAAATACAAGTTGAAATTTGAAGCGTGTTTTATCACATATAAAGACACGCCACGCTTATGATTTTTCTTTGTGTTTTCCTCATGAATTATTAATGAGTTTTTGAAGGTGAATATAATCCTTTTGATGTTACTCTGAGTGTATATATCCACACTGGGCTAGCTGAAAAGTTAGCGTGCCCACGGTGGGAATCAAAGCCGCAACCTTTGGGATACTAGTCCAATGCTCTGCCAACTGAGATACGAGACCAAGTTAGTATCCCAAAGGTCAAGTATTCCCAAAGGTCGTGGGTTCGATTTCCACCGTGATCAGGCTAACATCAGAGTAACATCAAAAATAATTTATTTTGACGAGCTTTAATTTTGGCCACTAGACTTTGGTCTTGTAGAAGACGAAACCAGAGAATACTTGAATAACAAAACCAGAGAATACTTGAATAATTTATCGGAAAATGATAACACCCTTTGCATTTCGAGGGCCTCAAATATCCCCTTATGTCCTCCTAAAAACGTTACAGATTCCCACAAGGTACCTTCCACCATGATCCCCGTTCGAATTACTGCACGTGATCACCGATCTATCCGCAATTATAATTCTGGCACACTCAGTAATCGTCGTAACCTCCGGAAAATCAAATTAAGCAGCAATATCTCGTATACCTTCGTACCCTCCTTGTTCCTATCCAACTCGAGGTCATTAGTCAATAAAATGGATGAGCTGTCTGGAACTGTTTCTTCACTTTCTTTGGATATTGTGGTCATTACGGAAACTTGGCTTTCTCCTAATGTCAGCAATTCAGCGATAAATCTAAATGGCTTCTCCATATTCAGGCGTGACCGACGAGATGGTAGAAGAGGTGGAGGTGTTTGTGTTTATGTAAACGATCGTATGCCTGTGGTTCATCTTAAGGAACTTTCACATCCCGAAGTTGAATCGTTATGGCTCCTAATAAAACCAAGTCGACTACCACGTGGAATTAATTCTATCATTTTAGTCGCAATTTACCATCCACCGAAAGGCGACGATAGGGCCCTGTTAACACACCTTACTGAGTCCCTCGACAGTGCATTAACATCCTATCCTGCGTCAGCTATCATCATTGCAGGCGATTTTAACCAATTTAGGCACAGTCAACTATGTAACTCGTTTTCCCTTAAACAGGTTGTTAAGCATGCAACAAGAGGATCCAACATCTTAGACAAAATATTTACAAATGCGTCCAAATTTTATAACGTTCCAGAGATTCTCCCACCTGTCGGTTTCTCTGACCATAACTCAGTGTTGATAAAACCGCTGAAGCAATGTATGAACTCCCGGAGTACCCGAATGGTCAGAGACACGCGTTCCCCTAATCGGAAGTTAGTCTTCGAGGCTTTGTCAAGTATAAACTGGTCTCCCCTGTATAGAATGGACTCTTGCAACGATAAGTTTCATTACTTTTCATTCATTGTTAATGGCATTGTCGACCAGTACCTTCCAATGAAACGTATAAAATCGGATAGTAGCGATAAGCCCTGGGTAACATCTGAGATCAAAAGATTAATCTCCAAACGTCAAGCAGCTTGGAATAGCGGAAACAATATCATGTTCCATCTCTACAGAAACAAAGTAAATATGCTTTGTAAGAGAGTTCGTTCAAGATTTTACAACAGCAATGTCGCCGACTGTTTTGAATCAAATCCGCATAAGTGGTGGTCCAACATAAAAAACATAGCTGGCCTTGGTGCAACGAAAAACGTTTCCACTATCTTATACAATGATCAATCCTACTCAGGCTCCGCCCTAGCTAACTTGTTTAACGACAAGTTTGTTGCTGTAGGAAGCACCCTTCCCCCATTCTCGTGGACACCCATTGCAGTTGATGACGTTTCTTTAGATTTCTATATCTCCATTGATGAAGTTGAGAAAGCACTAATATCTGTAAAATCTCATTCGGCGGCAGGTCCAGATGAGATTTCTCCTTGGCTCCTCCGTGAGAACTCTGCCTCCCTATCCCGCCCATTGGCATCCATTTTCAATGCTTCTATCCAAGAAGGAAACATCCCGTTGTTGTGGAAATCCGCCAATGTGTCTCCTGTGCCAAAATCGTCACCTGCCCTGGATATTGATTCCGATTTTAGACCGATCTCTCTTACGCCAATTGTAAGCAAGATCTTAGAGTCATTCCCTCATAGCTGGCTTTTACGGTCAGTTAGCGGTCAAATTGATAACCTCCAATTTGGTGCACTTAAAAGATCAAGGTCCACAATGGCATTATTATATATGTTCCATAAATGGTACGAAGCCATGGACACTCCCGGCACCTGTCTTCGAATCTGTACCTTGGACTTCTCAAAAGCATTTGACCGGATTGACTTCAACATCTTACTTCAAAAATTGATAAATATGGGCATACATCCTGTCCTTATTAATTGGATCGCCAACTTTCTCACAGACAGAAGACAGCGTACAAGAATCGGCCCGAATTATTCTTGTTGGAGGTCAATCAATGGTGGTGTCCCACAGGGAACCAAACTTGGCCCCTTGCTCTTTTTAATTATGGTGAACGACCTGAAGGTCTCTGATGATTCTGTTAAATTCGTAGACGACACTACTTTATGGGAAATAATTACGAGCGCACAATCGTCTGCTTCAGTCTTACCGGCACAAATTAGTGAATGCTCCAGTTGGGTGGCCAAAAACAATATGAAATTGAATCCCACTAAAACCAAGGAAATTCGAGTATGTTTTTCGACTTATGATACCGAAGCACTTCCTCCACTTACCATTGATGGCTGTAACATTTCTGTCGTGTCACATGCTAAATTACTCGGATTAATCATCTCGGAAGACCTCAAGTGGGTTCTTCATGTTGATTTCATTTGTAAGAAATCTGCGAAGCGTCTGCATGCTCTACGATTATTAAAGAGATCTTCCATTCCATCAAGCAAGTTAGTGCGAGTGTTTAATACATGCATTAGACCAATTTTAGAATACTCGTGCGAAGTATGGCATCACAGTTTGCCCCAGTATTTAAGTGATCAGATCGAAAGGATCCAACGCAGAGCTCTACGAATAATCTTCCCAGATTGTTGTTATGATATTGCAATGGACCGCGCCGGTGTGGTGTCATTATTCATACGGAGAGAGACGATCTGTAAGAGATTTTTTGAACGAATGCGTACTGACGAAGCACACAAGTTACATTCCCTTGTCCCTTCCAATCGGGATACAGAATATTCCCTTCGGGGTGGTAATAACAAACTATCAATACCTAGGTGTAGAACTAATAGATATGCAAACAGTTTCATAATTGCTGGAAGTAATGCTTTTAATATTAGTAAAACTTAATATAATTAACCATGTAATTATTACTATAATAATTCTTAATCTGATTGTACTTTGTATTTTAATCCTTTTAATCTTGTAAACCGATGTAATTCAGTCCTTGACTGCTAAATCGGTCTTTTTAATAAATCTATCTAATCTATCTCATATTAATTAGTGATTGCCCTTACGTCAACATTGCCCCCCTGTGCCCTACTGCAGTTAGTAGCCAAAAGCTCGTAAGCTTATTGGCAAATCATGCATGTCAACCATAATATGTCCCGTGCAGTGGCTTTAGACCTGATTATAAAACACTATATAAAACACTCCTAATTGGTATTCTTTATATAAAGAATACTAATAAAGCAGTATCTATTGTAGTCTTGTCATCATTAGTACTCTTTATATAAAGAATACTAATAAGGCAGTAATATCTATTCAATTTGTAGTCGTGTTTGAAGCCGTTTAATAAACTCGCAGGTCGTGTTTTTAATTTATTAGGTCTAAAGCCACTCGCGCTGCACGCTCGTGGCTTTAAACCTAACAAAACACTCCTGCTCGTTTATTAAACAGTACATAAAACTCTCTGATTTGGCTGGCTGTAATATGTACATGATGCAACGCTCTAGCACTGTTACGCGTACGTCATGTAATACGAATTATAGAGGTTTTACTGCAGATCGAAGCATTGCAGTTAAAGCATTGGCCATTGCATTATTTTTTAAAAATAAAAGACCTTTTCGGGAGATCTGTGATATAAATGCTTTAATTTGTTAATGAAACTACTATATATATATATATATAGAGAGAGAGAGAGAGCTCGAAATGCTTTTGTTACCATTTGCGTTCAACTGGTCAGCGTCCCGATTTTTTCGCGTTTGTTCACGTTTCAAACGAACACATTTCTGAGCGAAACGTGCAGGTTTGAACCGGTAAACTGTTACATTGTTTACAAAAATTTCCAACGTTTGTGGAAAAATCCGAACAGGTTTTGTTCACGTGATTAACCCGTTTGCAGGTTTTTACGTCATGTTTTATAGTTTGTTATTGTATCTTTTCCTATTTTTCCCGCGCAAATTGTTTGCGTAAAAACTTTCGGATAACTTATAACAGTATTCTAAAATCATGATGGAAACTAAACAAGTCAACAAATTCGGTAGAAGTTATTCTCAAGGAGTCGCTCTCGATCAAGATTTGAAATGTTTAATTGTTGATAGCATTATAAAAGAGGGGGGCGATAGAGCCACGGGTTATATTCCTTGTACTTTTGCGAAGTTATCAAGACGGTTTTGTGTGTCGAGCAAGGCTATAAAATCTGTGTGGCACCGATTTTGTGAGGAAATGACAACGACGCCGAAAAAAAAAGGAGGCATGACACACAGTAAATTGGAGGAAGGCGACCTTGAGTTGATCGAAGTTTTAAAAGTTCATTCGCCGTCAATCTCACTCTCTGAAATTATACAAGAGTTACCAGCACTAGAAATTTCTATGTCAGCTATCTCGCGGGCCATTAGAAATAGGCTACCTTCAGGCGAACAATATACGAGGAAAAAACTCACTAGATTGGCAAGAGAGAGATTCACTCCGGAAAACATGTTCTATACCCAGCTTTTCATCAATTACCTTTCGTCAAAAGATCCGTATAGATTAAAATTTTTTGACGAAGCTGGGATAAAAATTCCTTGTGTTGGAACTAGAACATACGGACACAGTGCTAAGGGGACACGCAGTGTTGAAGTGGTCAGAAAACACGAGTCCCCCAATAAAACATTGAATATGCTTGTTTCTCTTGATGGCCCAGTTTACCACAACATCGTTAACGGAGGCACCAATACTGCTCCGTTTTCTTATGTTTTTTGAAGAAGCATGCGAAGTTGCCAATATTCGAGACTGGTCGACCGTGTCTCGAGGTTGGTGACATTGTTGTGATGGACAATATGTCCGCGCATCATTATGAAGGCGGGAGATTTTGGAAGAGTGGTTTGACACGATGGGAATAGAATTGTTATACACACCTTCTTACTCTCCTGATCTGAACCCAATTGAATTGTGTTTCAACAAGGTTAAAACTGTTTTAAATGGAGGCTTGAAGGATCTCGTTCATACCAATTTGGCAGTCGACACTATAACGGCACACAATATGGTTGGGTTTTACGAACACACATCGTATCTTTTCGTTGAATAAATGACGTTATGACGTAATGATGTTCTTACGCGTGACAATAAAAAAAATTCAATTTGATTACTGTATTTTATTACTATTAGGGGCCATTCACAAAGGATGTCCGAGCCAAGGGGGGGGGTTTGGAAAATCAGGACAAACTCGGACATAGGGTGGGGGGGTTAGCAATCCGGATGTCCGAAATTTAAAAAAATTCAAAAACAAATTTCTTTTTCCCTCTATTTTGAGCAGTCCTTCCCATTGTGAAATTGGTATGCGGTTAACACTAGATTTTGTTTTAATTAGTAATTTATATGTTTTTGTGTTCACATTTACAGTTATAAAAAAGTTCTAAAAGTAAAAAAAGTTTTTTACTCTTGATATATACAAGGTTGTGCGAGTTTTTGCGAGGCATGGCGGATGTCCGGGGGGAGGGGGGGTCACTAATTCGGACAATGCCGGACATCCTTTGTGAATGGCCCCTTACTGTAAATACCTAAACAAATGATTTATACAGTATATGCACTATGCATATTATATTTTTCTAAAGCAACATTAAACAAGAATTTAATAAGCTGTCTCATAAATATAAACAGGAGAGTCTATAAGTTCCCTCAAATTGTAAAAGCGATATAATAATAGTACGTTCTTTCATTGTCTCAGAGTCTTTCTATACTCATTCTGGTTCTTACAAATCATAAAATATTACTATATATAGCAAATGATGAACGTGCAATATAAATATAAATGCAACATGAAGTCACATGTTTACATCATACAACATATTTGTATAGTCTAAAATAGCAAACAAAATATCACCAAAATCATAATTACAATTTCTGTTCCCACATTTTAAAATAACATAAAATGAATGAAGTTTATACCAAACGAATGTACAAAAAACAAACATTTTATCATAACTAACAAATATAAACAATGTATATGTATATGTACACCGTTTTTCAATATCAATTATCAGTGACAGTGTGATGTGTTGCCATATTCATCAGAAGAGACGCAGCTGCATACGAGTCGTCAGAGTTTACTTCTATATCTTGACATTTTTCGACAACAGCTTTGTCTTTTTCTTTCCCTTCGCTCTCGGTCATTTGTTGTAGTTGCGTTTGAGTCGAATAACAATTCAAACCATTTGAACCATGTACATAATTCATAGGCAAAACACCATACTCAGTTCGAGGATAATGAAAGGGTCCAACGTTCGCTGGATACGGAGGAAAATGTCCAAGGCTTTGTGGATAAGTTGTTGGAAAGTTCTCAATGCATATTAGGTTCGAAACCTTATTACGATACTGTTTACGATATTGTGTGCCTCATTTAAATTGACGAAACATTTCGAACACTGGAAATTCAAAGTACTTGTATCAAAGTAGCAAGAAAGTGAGTAAACAACGTTTGAAAGCATTTTAAAGAAATATATTAAACGAACTATATACACTTGGAATTTTAGTAAACATGTGAGTGATATCCGGCGAATTTTCGAGTGACTTCCGGTCTGTGCTTCCAGTTGACGAAAAATATTTCAAGTGATTCCGTTCAAAAATTGGCGCACAGTCATGGTTCTGGAGGTAGCAGAGGCTAAATTGGCTCGAACTTCGGCTAAACGCGTATTTAATCGGAACGTCAAGAAATTAGTCGACTCTATTAACTCTAAAGATACGGCTGCATTAATCGAGAGTAGATTTAAAGATTTGAAGCAGCTCTGGGATGACGTCCAACGGAAGCACGAAGGGTATATAGAATCGCTGGAAAATTCGAAGACGACTTATGATGTTGAGCAAGAGGATGGATGGATTGATGAAATGGATAAAGTTTATGATGACGTGTTACGGCAAAAGTTGGCATACTTTGAGACCGTAGAAGAGGATCAAAGGGAAATCGAACGGCAACAAGAACAAATTTCTAAAGAGAAAGAAGATCAAATTCGTAAGAAAGAGGGCGATAAAGCTATTTTTCGAGCTGAACAAGCCCGCAAAGTTGAAGAAATCGCATTTAGACAAGAGGTGGAAAATCTAGAAGAGGCATTAGCTGCAGAGATAGACAACCCCAATCCGGCAGCATCAATGCTTGAAACGGCAAGAACTGAGCTAAAAAGACAACTTGAAGAGTGTAAAAGGGTTAATGGTGAATATGTTCTGCTACTTGATGCTGAGACAGCTGGTGATGAGATAGCTTGGTTCACGAGTCTCCAAAAGATTTATTCGCAAATATCTAAAAAAAATCGGCGACGTTATTCAACGGAAAAGTGATACCAAAGGTAATGCAATGAGAGGAAGCACAATGAAACTAGAAAGAATGAAATTACCCCAATTCAGTGGAAATATTCGAGACTACCCTCGTTTTCGATCAGATTTTGAAAAACAAATCCTACCAGAGTTGGAATCTGGAAAAGTTGCATATGTCCTCAAATCATGTCTCGAAGGTGAAGCATTTGATGCCATCTACAACTTAGATGATGATGTAACGAAAATGTGGAAGCGATTAGATGAAAAGTATATGGTCTGCCATCAAAATTAGTCGATGTTGTCGTATATGATATTAAGAATATAAAGCACTTACAGGAAGGAGATGATAAATCATTTCTAGAGCTTATAAATACGGTTGAGAAAGGCTATCAAGATCTAGCCAGAATCAATATGGAATCTGAAATATCCAATAGTGGAACAGTCAGTTTAATCGAAGAACGATTGCCTCGTGACATTAAGCGGGAATGGTCTAGAGAAGTCAACAGATCAACCAGCAAAGTAGAACAGAAAAATAAGTTCCCGTATCTTCTCCAATTCCTTCAAGAACAAAGAAAGATTATAGAATACGAGTCATCAGAGCTGAAGACTGGAGAGGATCATGCTCGCAAAGGTCGTGTCCACATGATTGACCGTGATGGAAAGTTTATTGAAGACAAAGAAGCTACAAAGACGACCAGGTGCTTAGTTCACAGCTCGAGCACGCATAATACGGCCGATTGTAGAGTATATCAAGAGATGGCGCCTGAAGGGAAAGTCCAGTTGTTAAAGGACGAGCTTGCTGGTCATGCCTCAAGATTGGTCACCGCTCTATTGACTGCAGACAACGCAAGAAATGCAAGTGTGATGATTGTTCAAAATATCACAATGATTCCTTACACGTAGCCCACGTTCAAGGGGTTGCATTCCATATACCATATTTTTCCCGGCCAAATTCTGACGCAGATGGAAAGGAATCTGGAACTTGCTTGCTGCAGGTGATGAAAATAAAATCAGCTGTCAATGCTGCTCCTTTAAATGTGCTGTGGGACGGTGGTGCAACCATTAGTCTGATCACCTTTGCTAAAGCACGTGAGCTAAGTTTGGATGGAGAGGAAATTAGGCTGTCGGTTGTCAAAGTTGGCGGTGTCAAGGAAGAGATGAGATCATCAGTATACAAACTTCCCTTAATCGATGAATCAGGGGAGACTGTCAACTTCCGCGTTTATGGAATTGATCGGATATCCTCCCCTATGGAGGGAATTAACCTCAACGGCGTGATGCATCTGTTCCAAAACATAAACAAGCAGGAGATTCAGCGACCAAATGGGGAAATAGATGTGTTGATTGGTTATGAGTATGCAGGTTATCATCCTGAGCGGGAGCAATCTTCTGGGCATTTACTTCTGTTGAAAAACCGATTCGGTCGTTGTCTGGGTGGGTCTCACACCAGTATGGCAGAGAACACGCTTAAGCTTATCCAGCATGCTACAGTTCACCATGTTGCGAGGATAAACATTGAAAATTTTTTCGATACTGAATCTCTGGGCGTTGAATGTTCCCCGAGATGTGGAAGTTGTCGCTGTGGACGGTGCCCAATTGGTGGGAAAAGCTTCACATTGAAGGAGGAGCGGGAATTAAATTTGATTGAGGAAGGATTGACACATGAAGGCGATCATTGGGTTGCGCGATACCCTTGGATTAGGAGCCCGGATGATCTGCCAAACAACAAAGAAGCAGCTTTGAGAATGCTTGGGTCTACAGAAAAGAGGTTGCAGAAGAACAAACCGCTTCTGGAAACGTACAAGGAGCAGATTCAGGATATGGTACAGCGAGGTGTTGCAAGGAAACTCGCACAAGCAGAAATTGAAAACTATGACGGCCCAGTATATTACCTAAGCCACCACGAGGTGCTTAAACCAGAATCCACATCCACGCCTTGTCGAATAGTCTTCAATTCGTCAGCGAAGTTTCAGGGACATTCACTAAATAACTACTGGGCTAAGGGACCAGA